AACTGAACTAGTCTCTCTGAATCAGGGTCTTTGTGCGCAGAGCCCAGGCAGAGGAGTTAAAACAAGTTTTTCTGGGTTTTAATGTTCCTCCTGACTGAAAGTCACTAGTTTAAGAAGTTCAACTGTCAAATAGAGTGATGAGAAAAGCAATTACTTGTTTTACTAACATATAGACATTGAAAACAAAGGGGAATCAATAATTCCATCTTTTCATTGTATTAAGACAACCATGGTTAATTTTGGGGGGGGTACACAAAATTGTGATCAGACTGTACCTACAATTTTATAACCTGCCTGTCTGTTGGTCTCTCAACTGGAATAGCTTTCTACTAGAAAGGAACAGTGGGCTAGGCTAGTATATTGCCTGCCCTGATATATTCACTTAGCAATACAACGTAGAAACTTTCCCCTACCATTGCATTGTGACCTATGGTTTCACTGTGAGTGACTGCTGTGTATGGCACCATTGGCCATTCTTTATTAATTGGTGGCTGATGTTACTTTAATTTTATTTGTAGCCTCAGTTCAGACTAGGATCCTTTGAACTAAGACCTAATAGACCAGATAACTCAGATACTGAAAGGATAAAACTAGTGTAATGATAAAGACACATACTGCTTAGCACTTTTATACTCCTACCCAGAAAATTTCAAAATATCAGTTTAACAACTAGTTCATTTGTAAACATGAATATTTAATCACTAGTTCTCTGGAGTCAGCTCACCCTTAGAAAAATCCTTGATTAAACTGAACTGGTAAGTCTTTCACTTATAACAAGTTGTATGAAGAGTGGTGTGGGATGGGAGCAGAGTTGCTGGGGTCAAAGTGAGTCAGAGCTCCAGTGTCTTTACATGTTTGGAAATATCAATTCAAGCTACTGGGATAGCTGGATGGCTGAAGGTCTAATTTTTAATTGACTGGGAATGGTGGTATACATCTGTAATCTCAGCATGTGGGAGGCGGAGGTAAGAGGATCAGAAGTTCAAGGTTAGCTTCAGCTACACAGTGAGTTTGAGGACAGCTTTGGCTGTATTCGGACCCTGTGTGAATAGTGCCCCATTCCTCCCCAAGATATATAAATATTATGCAGTCCTTAAGACAAAATGATCTTTTATTTTTATTTTATTGTTTAATATTTCATTTATTATTTTTATGTGTATGAGTGTATTACCAACATGTATGTAAGTGCTTCTGTGTCATGCAATGCCCACGGAGTCAGAAGAGGGTGTTGCATCCCCTGGAACTGAAGTTAGGAGTGGTTTTTAGTTGCCATGTGGGTCCTCTGCAAGAGCAGCCAGTACTCTTAAATCACTGAGCCATCTCTCTAGCCCCGAAAAAATATCTTCTTTTTTTTTGGTCTTTTTGAGACAGGGTCTCCCTATAGCTCCAGTTGTCCTGGAACTTACTATGTAGACTAGGCTGGGATTAAAGGTGTGCACCACCATGCCCGGTCAAAATGATCTTTTTAAGAATACAGGTGAAAGACAGTATCAGATGGTTCCATGCTTTTATTGCTCTTTATACCTCTGTGAAGAGAGATGTCTGTGGCATAAAAGTGAAACTGGGAGGTGACACAAAACCCTAGCCCGTTTTAGATTAATAGCTCTGTCACTAATTCGTGTGTCTGAAGCCTCTGAGCCCATTTCCTTGTGTTCTCCCAGCAGGTCTCCCACTATTGACAACAGTGGTCTAGATCCAAATGCTGGTTAGCATAAGCTCTTCCAAAACTTCCTGTCTCAGGTTCTTATGCCTTCCCCAGAGTGCCACATACTCTCAGAACAAACAGTTTCAACTCACTGATAATGAAACATCGAGAAAGAGAAAGATCACAAGCTGATCAAGGGCTGGCGAGATTGCTCAGCAGGTAAAGACACTTGCTGCCAAGCCTGATGAACTAGAGTTCACTCCCTGGGACCCATGTCAAGTCAAACTCATAGAGGCTTTCCTTCTTTATCTACATGTAGAATAGCATGCTAATGTTAGGATTAAGCACAGCATCGCACAGAAAGAATACAGTAAGCATACACAGTAAACATAAATGTGAATTGCCTTCCCCCTTAGACATTATCACAATACTGTCATTCCTAAAGGAGGAGGATGGGACTTGTTCGAACATTTTGTCTTCAGAGAATTTAATCATGTTCATCTTTCGCATTCCTTAACTCTATGATTTAAACTGGGACCTGTGGGCCAAGCTCTGCCTGGCAGAAGTGTTCAGTCTTGATGGGACAAGTCATGTCTGTGTCCATGTGGTGTTGTAGTTGTTTATATGACAAAGGCTAAGTCTTACAGCTATGATGAGATCCGATAGCCCATAAAACCTGGAACATTTACTGCCTGGTCATTTACAGGAAAAGTTTGCCAACCCATAATTTAACCACTCACATTTTTCTTGAGTGAATACTTTCTCTTGTTTATAAAGATAGGAAATGAAGAAGTAAAAGATTCTCCTAAAGACTGAAAAGCACGTGCTGATTCCATGAATAGCTACAAAATACTTGGAACTCTAGGAGGAAGTAGAGTTCCAGACTGTTAAGAGAGTATAGCCTACAGAATATTTTATAAATGAAATGTCCTACAAAGTGCTGGAACACACCTTGAATAAGGAACTTGGAAGAGAGACTTTAGGAGGTAGAACTGTGGAATATTATTTATACCCTGGCAAAGAAAATGACTGGAACCACATTAGTCAAGCAGAATAAGCCAATCTCCTGAACTACAGGTAAAATAACATTCTGATCACTGAAAAACAACAGTCAAAACCGTGCAGGACAGAGGTTTAACAAACCATTTCCTCCACTGATTTTTTGATGTTTACATAGAATGTTCTTCAAGCAGCAAATAACTTACTGATGACCTTGACAGACTGAAAATGATACATCTTTACCACAACATAAATTAACTCTCTCAGTGGGAAATTGCTAAAATAGGCAAGGTGTCATAAAGATTTCATATCAGAAGGAAAAGGAATGATTCCATTTCTTTCAAACATTCTTACATGAAAAATAATAAACACTCATTTTAAACTGTCCTGATTTTCATGGGGCTTGAGGTGCCTGTTACTAATTGGGGCGGTCCTGTTTATCTGGTGTTGGCCATCAGTCAGTCTGCATTACCTCAAGTATGAAACACGTCCCACTGGAGACTGCTTGCCCCCACAATTCATATTCCATATGAATAAATATTATAGTGAACCCCAGACGAGAGGACCACAGCATTACACTGTACTCTCAATTTTCTTTTTCACTCTTCAGATTTACATGGCAAATGCTACACAGAGATCCTGGTAAGTCACTCTTCACCAAATAAAATATGAGGGGCTCCTGGGGGTACACACCTCATGACCTGAAACATCCAACAGCACCTTACCAGCTCTTGACAGCTCCAAGCTGGAGATGAAGCCTTTAATATTTATATATGGGAACTTTATATTTAATATATGGGGACTTCATGGGAACATTCTAGATGAAACTATAGAGCAATCTGTGACTTACTCAAGGAAATAGCATCTGTGGAGAAGTCAGATGGGAACTCTGGTCCCTCTACCTGCTACACTTCTCTTGTCTTCAAAGAGGTGATTCCCTAAGTGCACCATAAAAGCCCTCTAATTATGCTAAGTTAAGAAACTTTCCAGGTTCTTCCCTTGGACAGTAATGGTGTATACTAAAACCCCGCTAAGCAAGCTCATTTAACTTTGCTGAACCTAGCATCTTCCTGAACTTATTAGGGAGTCCTTTTACTGCAATATTTTGTGAAATTAATTAAATGTGAAACACATTTTGAGAAATACAACTATAGTCTCCTCCCTTGATGGGTGAAGGAGAAAAGAGAATATGGAAGTTGTAAGATTACAGTTTTCCTCAGTCAGGTGATGCTAAGGAGATGCTGGTGACCCTCAGTGGCTTAACTTTTCTCTTAGAATTGACCAGACTCTCTAAGAGGACCCACGATGCCCTAGGTCCTGCCACCACCTCGGCTTCCTCTCAGCCTGGCAGTGTGGCCTGCTCTGGAACATGCAGGCAGGTTCTCCTGCCATGCGGTCTTTGCACAGTGGAACATGCCTTTCCCTCTTTCCCAAGGACACTCCTTCCTCCTCCTCCTCCTCTGTCTTCACTGTTGCCTCAGGATCTTTCCACAACGCTTTCTTCCAGGGCAACCTGTCTGTGGAGGGGCTTATGTCCCTGACTTCTAGATAGCACGATTCATAATGACAATGCTATATTTACTTGTGTGCTTCTTTGATTAATAACTGTCCATGTTCCCCTGTGAGAGGAACACAAAGTCTGCTCCCCGATTCTCAGACAAGACAAAGAAGGGAGACCTTAGCCTCCTCCTCATCCTCCCCTCCTGTCTTTACATTTCTACCTAGAGCATAGTATATGATCAGATCTGGGCTGCTTCTACCCTAGGATGCGCTTAGGGTAAGGCAGGAAATAAACTGAATTCAAAGACGATATACTAAGAAGCCCAAATATCACAGCCCCAAGTTATCCATCCTATAATTCTGCTTTATTCAGGAATTGGGTTATTTTCATCTTCAACTCTGACTCCACTTCAGTGTTCAATCACCACCATATTTGGAAGGATTCCAACATCCTCTACCAGGTTTAAGATGGAGAGGGGTCCTTTCTCATTTCTGTAGCTCAGTGTCTGACATATAGGAGGCATATAACTTCCAGCTTGTTGTTCTTCATTTTGTTATGAAAAAAAATCAAGAATAATAAAAAATAGGGAGGATGGTATAAGGAGCTCCCCAGTGCCCCATTGTGTATGGATAAACTGGTATGATGTCTTATGTTCGCTCTAGTCAGGTGAAGGAGTAGACAAAACAAGATTGTCAGCTCATCCACACACAACAGTAAGGTCTTAAATTAGCCACAAAACCATCATTGACATGTAACTACTTGCACAATGATAAATAGATGAATGACTTGACACAATGTACAGATATTAGAAAAGGGTCAAAGTAGTGAGTCTGAGTCCTCAGCTAAGCGGCTTACCTGTTGGAGTGCTGCTGCGGAATGAAGAGGAGGGAGTGATGGGTGGGGTCACAGGGGGAGTAAGGCTTCCGCTGCTATGGCGTGGCGGAGTGGACACATTTCCTCGAGACACGGAGCTGGACAGGGTCAGCGAGAGCTTAGGCTGGATCTTCTTCTTGAGGGATTCCTGTTCTCGACGTGCAGCATCTGTCATGAATCTGAAATGACAGGGGCAGGTAAGCAGCCTAGGTCATGAGAGAGAACATAGGACCATCAACTTTGAGAGATGCGAGTTGGTTCCCATTTTAAGTCTCATGAACCTTGCCTCTCCCTATGCAGTGAGGTGACCTTCCAGCTTGTTGCTTTGAAGGTTCCTCCAAACTGGGCTCATTTCCTCCCAGGCAAACAAATCCTCCTGACAGGAAACCTTGACACAGAATAGATCTATTCCCACCTCAATGCCTTCAGTTCTAATATCTTTTCTCTTAGAAGAGCCTTTCCCTCCTCCTGCTTGTAGGGTGCCTATCCTTAAAGCCCCAGCCCGAGTCAGGAGCATGTTTCTCTGCATGCTGCTAGTACTTAGTGCTCACCACTGATACTTAACAGACATTAAGTCCATGAACGCTCTGCTTCTTGCTTCTTTTAATTTTTTTTTTATTTCTTCAGACCCTCATATTGTTATTTGGAGTTTAAATATCTTTGTGGCAACTTGAGGTCTTGCCTGGCCTATTGCCAGGCTGTACAATGGCTCTGTTCATCTGCCCAAGTAGAGTCAAGAGGAGGTGTGAGAGCGTACGAGGAAGACCACCACCCATGGGCCGGTTCAAGCTCTGGTTTTCTTAGAAAGGGAAAGGCCCTGTGCCCCGCCAGTCTCATTTGGAAACTTCAAAGTTATTCTCCTAGCATGTCTTTTATATTAGTAGTATTTCAACTTTGTTCTCATCTCCCTGTATAATCTAACATTTCATAAGTCCGTTTAATATGAGAGGTGAAACAATCTATGAACTGGTAGCCTTTACCTACAAATCATATACTTTCTGTATTCTTGACAGGCAGATTTTGCTAGCTGCATTTCCAGACACTGTCATGAAGAGTACAGTGACTAGGGACATGAAAACATCCAGGTAATAACATACACCTGTGCCACTTAGGCCGAGAGGCAGAACATCACCATGCCTCACGTCTTCTCCGTGAATTGCAATCTGACGACTTTAATACAACCCACCATAAACTAATTCCACTGCACTTAATCATAGTGTTTCACTAAACCCATTTCACAGTCTGCTTACAAAATTCTGAAGTATTTTTCCTCACTATACTATGAAGTTTTTGAAGTTAACAAATAATTCTTACACCTGGTAAAAACTTAGAATTGATTAAACACCCAATGAAACAACAATAATATGGTTATAGTGTCTTTAAATTCCTACTTTTATACTTGGAACATGGATGGCCCACTTCTTGAATGATTCTGCAACATGATCGATATATAAATTGGCTTTTATATGTTGAACTGAACTTTGATAAAGCTACATTCTTTGAGCCCTTAGGTTTGGTGCTGCAAGATGGTGATGATTTACAAAGAAAGGAACCTCAAGACAAAGAGGACTGCTTGCACCTGGGGGCCGGGTACTGGTCTCTTCTCCAGTTTAAAACTGCTTCTGTAGCTCTTAAACTTCTTTTTTTTCCCCTTTCCTATAAACCTCTACTCAAAATATAGATGCTCAGAGGGGAAAGACAACAACAATGAACTGGTATTTTATTATTCCAAGTAGAACCACTAACTAGCATAGTGCTGAGTGTCTTAAATTGGGGTTGATGTGTGCCAGAGAGTAGGTAAAACCACAAGATAACCCTTCAGCTTCTTCCAGAAAGACTACTTGTCCTCAACGGTGGGTAATTCAAATAGTAAGACAAACAGAAATCCATGGGGCAGAAAAACATGTACATCTTGTACTTTAGTTAAGAATGTTGTATTCTGAGTCAGACAGGCTGAGGTTTAAACCCTTGCTGGTTTACTTAATATGTGATCTGAGGCAATGTACTAAGCCATTCTAAACCTCTCCTTTATTTTCTATAAAATCAGAATATAGGTTGGATATCTCTCATCTGAAGTGTTTGAGACCAGAAGTATTTCAGCTTTCAGAGTTTTCCAGATTTTGGAGTATCTGCATTGGCATTATTAGTTGGCCATCACTAATCCCAAAGTCTGAAGTTTATTTATTTTTAATATTTTATCTATTACTTTTATTTTATGTGTATGAGTATATTGCCTGCATGTATGAAAGTGCACCCACAATGCCTGTGGAGGTCAGAAGAAGGCCCTGGATTCCCCGGGAACTGGAGTTACAGACGATTGTTAGCTGCTGTCTAGGTGCTGGGAATGGAACCTGGGTCTTTTGCGAGAGCAGCCAGTGCTCTTAACTGCTGAGCCAACTCTCCAGTTCCATGAAGTTTAAAGTAGAGATTTTGGAGACTTTAGGGTTAGAGATGTAATAACTGTAATTAACATACATTGCTTTCTTTCTCCATGAGAACTGGATCCTTGGTTGTCAACCTGCTAAGCTGATAGGTCCACACTCTTAGTGAAACCATGACCATGGTTGCGTATCATCCATCACCTGTGTATCATCACCTGATAAGAAGCCTGGCATCCCAAGTAGGGCTTTGTAAATGGGCATCCTGGTGAGACAGCAGGAACCATGACTTTGGACTGTCAGAGAGTTGTGACTCTTGTGGGTAGGGCCTCTTAGGGCAGACTAGTCCTCACCCCTGTCTCTGCCCTGCAGCAGAATCACACTGCCTTGCCTGCAAGCTGTGTTTGTTCTCTGTCTTTCCGAATGGATCTAGTGCCTTATGTGAGCCCTAGTAATCTTGGAGACTGAATGTTCACAGTCTGAATGACAACTCGCTAGTGGACAGGCACTAACAGTGCCTGCTTCAGAGCACTACCTGAGGATTAAATGTGGTGACCTGGCTGTCATACAGCAAGTGGTTCAACATGTAGAAGCTGTTTCTATTCTATATAGCATCACAATGTGGTGTGTCTTAGTATATGGTCTACCTCACTCAACACCAAATTCCTTGAGTTAGTTCTAAAAGCACTTGAGTGAGCAGAAATTCCACCTGGAGAGTATGTATCTCTGGGGTCAGATAGAAACCCTGGCCAAAATACAAGAGAGAACTCACATTTTCTCTTGGGTTAAAAAGTATCAGTAAGCCATGCTTCTCATTTTAAAAATAAATACCCTTCATAGCTCAGATCTGAAGCAACTGTTTTCAGCCATAGAACCCACTTCCCACAATCACACCCATGTGCACTGAGTTGGGCTACAGATGGCAATTTATCTTTGGCATGCTCTTTCTAAAAGCTTTCTAGAAGCAAGAATGAGGCATTCATGTTAAAAGCATTAAACATGAAATGTGCTCATAAAGCGATGCTGCCAACCCTCCCCTCGTCCAGCCCTCCCACCTCCTCGCTTGGATTGAAGGTAGTGAACTTGGACATATGGCCATAAATCATGGCAACCCGACACACCAAGACACACAGCTGCACACTGTACTACTCCTAGTAACAGACACTCATGCACACATGGAAATGCCACGCCAATGTGTGTGAGTGCTGGTAAAAATGGGCTGCTCCCCAAGTACAGAGGACCTAGTTCTTCCCCTGTTGACTTTAATATTACCTATTTCAGGGGAAAAGGGTTGATACTGTGTGTCTTGCTATGGAATTTAGGCTGGTCTCAAACTGGAAATCTTCCTGCACTGGCCTCCTAAGTCTATCTTTATACTGAGACTTATTAAACACTAAAGTTTTAAGTGATGTTCCATCACCATGCTTGTTAGTCAAGAGGTGGGCATATTCCCCAAAGTGAGGAACCATCTGGAGACCCCAGTTAGCAGAGAAGGCAATGAGGTGGGGAAGAGCTGTGATTCTAGCCAAGAACTGAAGACCTAGTGATGTGGCTCTGACCAAAAAAGCCAGCTCCATGCCAGCTGCATATGAACATGCTCTTGTAGCCTATGACAGGCCTTTCCACTATCTGGCTGGAGACATCCCATTCCAGTGGCTGAGAGGAGCTCAGGCTCAGGAAGTCATGTCCTTCTGGTTTTTCAGAGGGTTTCTATCAATGATACCCTTGTTAATCATGGGAGACATGGGGATTCAGAGCAGGAAGAAACTTCAGTTGAGTCAGACTGTTAGTCTGATCTCATTTTTCACAGTCATTGCTAAAGTTGAGTGACTTGTCCAAGGCCGCTGGGCTGATGAGTGGCTGAGCTGGCACGAAAGCACGTCAAATGTTGAGACTGAGTCAGTGGTTCTTAAGAAGAACTGTGAGCTTCCAGGATGGGCCTTAGAATCATGCTGTACAGTCCTCAGAGTCACAACGGTTTGGGTCTGGAGATGCACAAGGAGCCCCTGAGGATTATGAGGTGAAGGGTGGGACCTGGCAGGGTGCTCAGGAGCTGTGTTCTCGAGCTCTCAGTCAACCGTTGCTGCTGGCTGGGTTGATGGCTATGGAGAGTCCCATCCCTGTGTCCTCAGTGGGGTTCATTCTGGGGAAGGCTGGCTATGCCTACGTCCCTGCCTCTGTTTTGCGGTGGCAGCAGCTGCAGCTGGGTACTGGAGTCAGTTCCTACTGGCTTGTAAGAGCCAATCATTTAATTTTCAGGGATTTTGTAAACTAGCTGTTAAACACATCCATTAATCAAAGTTAAATTATGCAAACTTATAATTAAATAAGTTATATTAAAAGCAAAGGCACATCAGTTCTTGATTATCTTACTGAATTTTGCTATAACCTATGTCCTTTAGGCTACTCTCACTAATGCCATGTCTGCTGAGTAGAACAACACCATGGTACATTCCTGTGTCTTCCATGAAGTCAAAGTAGTAGCTTGGAACTGCCACAGGTGGAATATTTATACCACGAAAACAGGCAAATATTACCATCCAGGACTTTTCTTCTTCAGGAGTTAGCTGTTAAATATCAGTCAATAGACCCTGTGGCCTTATTTTTAAAGTGGAAAAAAGCATGTGAATCAGTCTTCTTTGCCCGCTCATCGAAGGAACCAATCAGGGAAGGGATGAATTAGACAAGCGAAGCTTCCTTTCCTTCGTAAACTGTAAAAAGGAGGGGCTGGAGAGATGGCTCAGTGGTTAAGAACACTGTCTGTTCTTGCAGAAGACCCAGGTTTGATTCCTAGCACCCAC